CTGGTCGATGGTGGTCAAAAGAGCTTGTAAATTACTGGATGAGCCCTCAATCCTCTCTTAATAGATAGTTTGCATCGGAGGGGGGTCCAGCAGGCTCAGGCAGCGCTCGGTGACCCAGGGTGACTGTGGCATGGCGGCTCCAGTGAACAGGAGAAGCCCAGGCTTGGGAAAGGAGAGTTGTGTCTTCTAGCTGTTGGGTGCCCGGGTCAGGCCAGGCATGGGAAGGCTGCCTTGGAAGGGCCTGGCCTCGGCGCCAGGTGGCAGGGGTCTCCATGGAGCCCAACAGGAGTGAGAAGAGTGGTTGGCATCTGGGCGTGGTGGGCAGACACCCAGCAAGGCCAGCCAGGCCCTGCCCTTCTCAGGAGCCTCTTCTTGGCTCGTGCTTGAGGTTTGGTTCCCCTTGGCGGGGTGGTGGTGTCAGAGGTCCGCAGACCAGAGTGAGGTGGGGCTGGCCGTCCCTCGCCCTTCCTCACCCTTTAGGACCCATATGGCCAGGTTTAAGCAGGCCTGTGGCTGGCTGGGAGCTGTTTATTTTAGGTTAACGGCCCAGCACTCTGGCTATATTTACCTTGCGAAGCTGCTTGCAATCTGATCTGATCTCTCTGGGACTCAGCTGGGGCCCTGGGAGTTGCCTGCCAGATTCCGAGAGGCCCCCCCTGGCTTTACCCTCCCTGCCCTTGGGGAGATTTCCAAAGTGGGACACATTCTGAAAAAAGCAGTAGTTTTTATTCCTGTGAACAGTTTTCATCAGGAGCCATGATTTGTGCCAGCCATTCGTTCACGCAGCCCCAGGACACTGAGCTTGGTCCCCAATGTGGGAACGGTACACACGGCCCGCCAGCGTGCTCCAAGTTCCAGGAACTGTAGGGTCCAGCAAGGATGATGGGGTTTCTTCCGGAGCACGGCAAGGCCCCTTCTCAGAAGGCCCAGCGTCACAGGCTGAGCTGCCCAGGCTCCCCACCAGCCCAAGACCTCGGGGGAAATTCTGGTGTCCCCAGGCCAGGTGTGTCCCAACAGCTGTGTGTACGGCTCTAGAGCCTGGGGGTCCGGCAAGGTGGTCTCTGTCCTGCCAAGGTGGCCATCTGGCCAGCTGTGCCGTGGGACACACATTCTCCTTGTACCCAGGGTTTGGAGCTGGAGCAGGCCAGGCCCAGAGTGGGGGGGGGGTCTGAGCCCCTCACCCTCCCCAGGGAACAGAACACGGGCACACAGGGTCAGCTCTCAGCAGCCTCAGCTGAGCGCGTGCAGGGGCTGTTTGTCTTCCACTTTAAGCCCTGCGTTTTTCTTTTTAACTAAGATTTATTGAGTACCTTCTGGGGGCTGGCCCTTTGTTAAACCCCTGTCAAGACCTCATTTAATCCCCTCAGTGATTGTCTTAGTCTGTCTGGGCTGCTATAACAGAATACCACAAACTGGGTGGCTTATAAACAACAGATGTTTATTTCTCACAGTTCTGGAGACTAGAAGTCCGAGATCAAGGTGCCAGCAGATTCAGTGTCTGGTGAGGGGCTGGCTTCCGGGTTCATAGACAATGACTACTGTCCTCACCTGGCAGGAGTGGTGAGGGGGTCTCTGCTGGGGGCAACTCTCCTGTAAGGGCACTAGGGCACCACCCCCAAGACATAGTCACCCCCAAAGGCCCTACCTCCTCACACCATCACCTTGGGGGTTAGGATTTAAAATATGAATTTAGAGGGTTTGCAGACATTTGGTCTGTAGTAGCAGGTGTGAGGAAAATGCTATTACCCCCTTTGCACAGAGCCTCAGTTTCCTCATTTGTAAAAAAGTAATAATAGTGCTGCTAGTAATCATTGACACTTTATTAAGCATATATATATATATATATATATATATATATATATGACAGATCTTGTGCTAAGGGCTTTGTATTCATTAATCTGTTGAATCCTCATAACAGCCCCTATTTTATAGATGTAGAACCTGTGGCATAGAGAGGTTACCAGCTTTGTAAGTGGAGGAGCCGGTTCACTCTTAATGGCTCTGTAGAGGTAGAGATACCAGGCTTAAGAGAACAGATGGTTTACCTGTATATGTGTGTGTCGTTCCCCCTGCCGCTGTATAGACCCCCAGCAACCAGCTCGGGGCCTGATGCACCTAATGGGTCTGGACATTTCAGGTGAGTGAATTAGTAGCCAGTGGACCTGAGGCAGCCAAGCAACAGACTCTCCTGCTGGTCCCTTCTCCGGTTTCAGGTTCCGGGCAGGCCAAAACAGGAAGAGGAAGTGCTGGGGTGGGGGGGGACGTGGCAGGAGGTACGCCTTGCCGGAGGTGCCCCCCTTTTCCAGTGTGGTCAGGCCCGGGGACAGAGACCAGGGAGCCCGGGGTGCAGCCCTTAACCTGCCGTGCCCTGGTGGCCTGCTCGGATGCCCTGCATCCCTCACCCGCATGTGCCAAGCAATCCCAGCATTGGCCTTAGGCCACCAGTGAGTGATCCTAAAAATGGTCAGAATCCTCATGGCACTGCCCCAGATTTATGTGGGCTTGAAACATTTTACAAACTCCTGGGATGAAAAGTTTATACAGTCATCAGTTGTGGGAATTCTAAGACAGAAGTCTGTGACTCCTGTTGAAATTGTCTGCAAAGTCATATGACTGTATATACCTGGCTGTCTTAAGGAGTATCCGATATTTTCACCAAATTCTCAAAGTGTCCAACCCCAAATCAGCTCTAGACAGCGACCTTAATTTTGCCACATACCCTCCTTTTTCAGAGACAACAGGGAAGGTCTTGACCAAGGTCACCCAGGGAAGCAGGGGTGTTTCTGGAGCCAAAACCCAGGGCTGCCAATTTGGCTTTGGTTTTCTCAGGCTGGACAGGAGGATAGAAACCCAGAGGGTTTCATATAGAGACACTGGGATTGAGGGTGAGGTTTTTAAACTGAATAACAGTAATAATAGTAAAGCCTCTTTTATTGAGGGTTTACTCTGTGCCAGGCACTAAGTGTTTAATGTGGGATTAACTCAGTCCTCACAACTCTCTGAGTTATGTACCAGTCTTTTTTTTCTTTTTGTTTGGCCACACCGCGCAACTTGTGGGATCTTAGTTCCCCGACTAGGGATTGAACCTGGGCCCCGGCAGTGAGAGCACCTAGTCCTAACCACTGGACTGCCAGGGAATTCCCCCAATTTTCTATTTTTTAATTATTAATTAATTAATTGATTGATTTTGGCTGATCCGGGTCTTAGTTGCGGCATGCGGGATCTAGTTCCCTCACGAGGGATCAAACCTGGGCCCCCTGCATTGGGAGTGTGGAGTCTTACCCACTGGACCCCCAGGGAAGTCCCCCAATATTCTGTTTTTTACAGATAAGGAAACTTAGGCCCAGAAATTTAAAGGAACTTGCTAGAGCCTCACAGCCTAATAAAGGGCAGAGCAGTCAGGGCTCAAAGCAGGCAACCTGGTTCCAGAGCCTGTGCTCCTAACCACTGCCCTACATTGCCTTTCCAGGCCTAGGAAGGCTGTGGAGGTACAAGAAATGAAAGCAAACAGGGCCAGGCATTACAAACAAGAAAGCTGGGAAGGAAAGAGCCCACCCCCTCCCCCGGAGTAAGGAAGGGTCGGGGCAGGTGTGGGGCTCGTGGGTACATTTCAGCATCAGGCCTCCCCCTTCTGAGCCTGGCACACACAGCGAACCTTTTATGAAGGGTCATTCTCCTTATTGGTGTTGCCATTGGCACTTGCTTCCCCACTCCCTCCAGCCTCGGCAGGCAGACCCTGGCAGCGTGCCCACTGCCCGCTTCTCCCGGCCCATATCTGATGAGCTGGATCCTTCACATGGGGGTGATTTGCAAGGCCCAGGTGAGAGGAGGTGGGTGGCGGGCCTGGAGCATGCCCCTGGTGACCCCAGATCCACAGGTCTCCAGGAACTGGGGAGCAGCTAGTGCATCAGCCCTGGGGCCCTGAGCCCAGCACTGGGGCTGGAGGAGGAGATGGCCCTGGGGCTTGCCGACTGCACCGCAGCACCCAGCCAGAGCCCAACTCTTCTGGGAAGCCTCTCTTAATTCCTTCTTGGTTGGTGCACTGTGTTCTCAGAAGGGGCCTGGGCATGACCTGGGAGGGCCTTCATCCCTTCACCCCACCCCTCTCCTTGTCCCCAGAGCAGGGCATGAGGAAACCTCTGCTTGGGACTTCCGTGGTGGCGCAGTGGTTAAGAATCTGCCTGCCAATGCAGGGGACACGTGTTCGAGCCCTGGTCCGGAAAGATCCCACATGCTGCGGAGCAACTAAGCCCATGCACCACAACTACTGAGCCCGCGTGCTGCAACTACTGAAGCCCGCGTGCCTAGAGCCCATGCTCGGCCACAAGAGAAGCCACTGCGATAAGAAGCCCACGCACCACGAAGAAGAGTAGCCCCTGCTGTCTGCAACTAGAGAAAGCCTGTGCGCAGCAACGAAGACCCAACACAGCCAAAAATAAATAAATAAATTTATTTTAAAAAATAGAATAATTTTCAAAAAGAAACCTCTGCTTGGGAATTGGGAGTGTGGTGCCAACAGGAAGGGAGCCTTTTTTCATTCATGTAAACTTTTTTGTCATAGTGAAATTTACATAAAACTTACCATTTTAACCATTTGTGATGATTACTATTTGGGAGGTGTTTGCCATCTACCAGGAGCTCTCATTTAATTGTTAAAATAATCCTATTAACTGATACCATATCCCTACTTTACAAATAAGAGAGTTGAGGCACAGAGAGGTTCAGTGTCTTTCCCAAGGACACGTAGCTCGTGAGTGGCAGAACTGGGATTCAAATCCAGGCAGCCCGGGCTCCAAGCCTGCACCCTCTACCAGTACTTCCTGCCGCTTCTCAACCCTAAGTGGGTGGGTCTTATTATCCCCATTATACAGATACGGACACTGAGGCTCAGAGAGGCTAAGTGACTTACCCAGGGTCCCAGAGCTTGATGGGAGGAGAGCTTCTGAGCCATGACTATCTTGTCACTTAGCCCACCTCTTCCTCCCCCCCCCCCACCCCAGGTGGCGATGGTGGAGGTGCAGCTGGACGCTGACCACGACTACCCGCCGGGGCTGCTCATCGCCTTCAGTGCCTGCACCACGGTGCTGGTGGCCGTGCACCTGTTTGCGCTCATGATCAGCACCTGCATCCTGCCCAATATCGAGGCGGTGAGCAACGTGCACAACCTCAACTCGGTCAAAGAGTCGCCCCACGAGCGCATGCACCGCCACATCGAGCTGGCCTGGGCCTTCTCCACTGTCATCGGCACGCTGCTCTTCCTGGCTGAGGTCGTGCTGCTCTGCTGGGTCAAGTTCTTGCCTCTCAAGAAACAGCCGGGTCAGGTGCGGCCCACCAGCAAGCCCCCGGCCAGCGGCGCGGCCGCCAACGTCAGCGGCAGCACCGGCGGCATCACCCCAGGACAGGCCGCCGCCATCGCCTCCACCACCATTATGGTCCCCTTCGGCCTGATCTTTATCGTCTTTGCTGTCCACTTCTACCGCTCACTGGTCAGCCATAAGACGGACCGACAGTTCCAGGAGCTCAATGAGCTGGCCGAGTTTGCCCGCCTGCAGGACCAGCTGGACCACAGAGGGGACCACCCCCTGACCCCCGGCAGCCACTATGCCTAAGCCCTCCTGGGCTGGGCACTTCGGAGCTTTGGCCTTACGCCCTTCCCCACGACCTTGTCCCGGCCCAGCCTCAAGGACAGCCTGTATAGGGGGCTGGGCTTTTGTCAGGGGGCAGAGAGTGGAGGGAAGAGGCTTTTTTTAAAGAGAAATTACTGCACTTTGAAACTTTCCTCTAAGAGAATAAGCACTTCCTGTTCTTCCAGCCCCAGGTTCACCTCCTGTTCTGAAGCCACCGGTGGGAGCCAGAGAGGGGACAAACGCTCCCTTTGTCCCTCCTCCTCCCCTGTGCCAGTGCCACCTGGGTGCCTCCTGTCCTTTCCATCTTGACCCCCCTCCCCGTTCAGTGTCGATTTTGTGTGTGTGTGTGTGCGTGTGCGAACACAGAAATATACTCATAAGGGACACCTCCTCTTGTGTCTGTATTTGTTGGGTCTGGACTGCCTGGTATTTCTCCTGGTGCCCCAATAGGTGAGCCTCTAAACAAAAAAAATTTTTTCAACATTTTGGGAAATTTCAAACCTACCCCCAAAAGTTCCATGAAGAGTAACTGAAATATATATACAGTCAATTCTTATTCGCAGTGGTTCTGTTCTAGTCACAGAACAACACTGAATTAGTGAGTATTTCTCCTAAGAGATACGGGGTTATGTTCCTGCGAGCCTCTGGTCACAACATTTTTGTCAACCAGTCAATACACAGCCTTGTTTTTTGTGTGTTTCTTTTTAAAGACGCCTTAATATATGTTATATATAACATTGAACTTACACGCTATTGCTATCACAACAGCACTATCACTCATTTGTGACTGAAACTTACATAACACACATTTTCTCCGTAAGGCACAACACAGCCTTCCTGTGCTCTGAACACTAGACAGCACTTCATTGTTACCCTTGGGGACCATTTTAAGTAGTGAAATCACCAACAAAAAGCACCAAAATGTGAAAAACGTAGCACTAAATAGACTGTGAAAAGGATACTTGTTTACAGCATGAGCTGAAAGGAGGCAGAGGGTCACCTTGTTTGACCTCAGCAAGTAGGCAAATTTGCAAATACTGAAAATGTGAGTAATGAGAATGACAGTATGTTTTCTCCCTGAGCCATATGCATTAGTTACAGATTTCTAGCTTAAACCAAGGACATTCCTCTACATAACCACAATTCGATGATCAAATTCAGGAAATTTGACATTGATGCGATACTATTATCTAATACAACAACATTCGTTTTCAGTTTCCCTCTTTGTCCCAATCATGTCCTTTCTTATAGTGATTTTTCCATCCAGGATCATGCACTGCATTGGGTTGTCATGTCTCTTTAGTCACCTTTTATTTGGGACAGCCTTTCTTTGTCCTTTGTAATATCAACATTTTTGAAGAGTCTGAGCCAGTGTTGTTGTTTTTTTTAACATCTTTATTGGAGTATAATTGCTTTACAATGGTGTGTTACTTTCTGTTTTATAACAAAGTGAATCAGTTATACATATACATATGTTCCCATATCTCTTCCCTCTTGTGTCTCCCTCCCTCCCACCCCTCCAGGCGGTCACAAAGCACCGAGCTGATCTCCCTGTGCTATGCGTGAGCCAGTGGTTTTGTAGAATGCTGCCTCTGTCTTGTTTCTCTGATATTTCCTCATCTGTACGATCAGGTTGTGCATTCTGGGAGGAATTTTTTCTCCATTTTGCAGATGACAAAAATTGATGTCCAAAGAGGATAAGTTTTCGAGCCTGGAAATCTGGCTCAGAGCCTAGACACTCAAAAAATCTTACGTAGACTGATTCTGGCTTTGCTTAAGAAATCGGAAGATCCAGCAGCAGCATTACTGGGCCCGCCTTCTTGCAGAGCAACAATGAACAGGAGCTGAGTTGCAGCTACCTCTTACCCAGGAGATGTATTTGCCACAGTCCCCACCACTCCCTATTGTATGACACCAGCCCAGCTTCATATGTTACTCACCTGGCCCCAGAGGGCATTTGTGTTTGACAGCTCATTCTGTCCCATAAACCTGATACAGAAAGTGGTTTTATAAAAACACAAGTGCTCTGGCTGAAGTGAGAGTTGGTTGTGGGAAAGTGTGGCCTTAAGCTTTTGTCCTTCTGTGCAGACTTGGACATGGCCACAGCAGCTTGGTGGGCTGAGTGGGGGAGGGGGGGGCCCTTTATCCTACTGCAGCTTCTTGCCTCTGTCCTGCATCACATACACCAGGACCCACCCCTCCCCTGTCCCCAGAAGGCCCTCTGACTGGGACCAAGTAGGGTGGGGCAGGTGCCCCTGTGTGAAAATCTCCACTGCTCCCCAGAGAAAACCTAGGCATCTTCCATCCTTCCCCTAAGATACCCACCTCCCTGCTTCTGCAGAGACCTGGGTAGATAATACATTCATAGGTTCCAAACACAGCAGTGAAAAATTGCTGTCCCTCTCCTGTTCCCAGGTTCCCAATTCTCCCCAGAGACAACCATTGTTGCCAGTTTATTTTGTTCCCATCTAGAGATTTTATACATAAACAAGTACACATCCTACCTTTTCTGAAAAAATGGTAGTTTTCTATACGCACTGCCACTGTTCTTAAGAGCAGACAGGCCTAAGTTTAAGCACAGTCTAGTTTGGTGACTTGAGAGCCTCCCTGAACCTCAGTTTCCTCCTCTAAAATGACACGAATAATAGGACACCTCATAGGTTGTTGAGGGGTCATGGGAGAGCACCCGTGTAAAGCTGTCAGTGCTGGGCCTAGCACTGAGTGGCTCTGTGGTTGGTTATGTGTCCAGAGGCAGCCAGGCTCAGCTTCCCGGCTTCAGAGGTACCGATTGAGAACGATGCCATGGGTCGGGCCACCTGCTTGGGATTTAGATGGCAGAGAGAATTTCAGTATCAGTGAACGCTTTACTATATGCCGGGTACTTGCTGAGGGCTTTATGAACATTGTGGTATTTCAGGGTTATTTCATGCTATGACACCGTTGAAGTTGGGTTGAATAATTCTTCCGTAGAGTGTTTACATCATAACATGTTTAGCAGGATCACAACCTCTACCCACTGGGTGCCAGTAGAATTCTTCCCTGCCAGCTGTGGCAACCAAAAATGTCTCCAGACTTTGCCAGATGTTCCCGGGGAAGGAAGGGGGACAAAACCACCCTCCCTCGGGTTAGAACCACACCTTATTTCATTCTCCAGTAACCACAATAACCCCTGGTGGTAAGTACTGTTATTGTCCCATATTAGAGGAAAGGAAACTTGAAGAACAGAGGTTGGGTGACATACACAAGAACACACAGCTAGTAAGTCAGTGCTGGGATTCACACTCAAGGAGTCACTGCAGAACTCCTGTTCCTACCCATTATGTAAGAGTTCCTCTTATCTTGCAGGAATGTTGTCTAGAATTATACAAAGCCCTTCCCAGAAATCTGCTTTACAACTAATCTTAGTACGTGTTATTTGTTATTTTTACGTCTGCTAGAAAATCCTCAAAACACCTCTGTGAGATATCTGAAGTCCCATTTTACAGATGGGGCAACTGAGGTCACTTACTTAGGATCACAAAGCCAGTAAGTCAGAGGTTCTCTGCCCCAGCTGCAGAGTCAGCTGGGGAGCTTTTTGAAGGCCCAGGCCTCACCCCAGACAGATGAGAATCTCTGGGCATGGGATCCAGACATTCCTAGCTTTTAAATCTCCCACAGGATTCCAAGGTTGGGAGCCCCTGTGTTAGGCTGAGAAGCCAGGTCACATTTTAATGCCAAATCTTAGTGACCAATGTAACCAGATGCAGGCTCTATCTTCTCGGAATATCTCAGAGATCAGAGACCTGGAGGCACCTACCCCTTTCTGCCCCAAGGTAAATTCATGCAACCCATGGGGACCCCTCTTCTCTACCTGAAACCCCTCCTGAGGCTCCCTCGCACCCCGGCCACCCACCACAGGCCCCGGGCTCACGCTGCCAGGCTCTCCTTTATTCTGGGGTGCTCAGGGATGGGGTCCAAGAATAAAGGCGTCCCCAAGGCCAGCAGGGGAGAGGAGCACTGGCCTCCTACTGGTAAGGAATGATCCAGTGCTGGGAGGAGCAAGGTGCCTTCGGAGGGTGCCGAGTGTGTGCCCAAGTCCCCCCTTGCTCTACCAGTGGGAGCTGCACCGGGCCGAGCAGTTGGGTGACTCCGGTTTGAATTCCTCCTGAAGCGCTGGTGTTCTTTCTGCAGGGGCAAGCGGGGTGGGGTGGGCGAGGCTGGCGTCTCCAAGGTGTGGGCTCGACCCCACTCATTACCAACACCAGGAGGGGTAGCACTGAACAAGGGCCCACAAGACAGGCAAGTGGAGGCCCAGGGCCCTCCAGGGCGAGCAGACCACCTGACTCCATTCCGATTAAGCCCAGGGTGCAAATGGGAGGATTTGGCAGGACTTCTGCAGGGAAAAGAGTTTTGAAGGGGAGGAAGCAAAAACGACCAGCAGGACTGCGGGAGGCAAGAAACCCACCCTCTCTGGTCAAGCCCCTGAGCCCCTAGGCCAGAGGAGACCCCAGGAGCTGCCTGGACCACATCAGAGGGTGGCAGGTGTGCCCGCCTCTCACCTGGCATCAATCTCCTTCTTCCTGTGTCTTCTTGAACGTGGCCAAAGCTTCTGCCAACACGCCATCAGGATCTAGAATTTTGACCTGGAGGGAAGCAGCAGGGGTTGGTTTGGGGAGCATGGAAGGCCCAGGCTGCCAGCCTTCGGGGCGCTGCCTGCTTTGGGGGGTACTACCAGCCTCCCTGGGGTCGCCCTGACTGAAGACAAAACCTTGTCTGTTTCCTGGCCGGGCTGGGCTCAGCCAGGCTGGGTGTGGCTGTGGGTGCTGTTTTGTCTCTCCCTGGGCTGCGTGTGGCCCCAGGATCCGGGAGAGCTTCCCACCTCAGGAATGGGGAACTGGGTGGGCTTGGGGGCCTCGTCACGGCCACAGTCAATCATTGTGCCACACTTGGCTATGTTGTCGACCCAGAGGCCTTCAAACAGCTGACCATGGTCCAGGTGGAAGAAGCGCCCCCACCCATTCTTCATGCCTCTCTGCCAGTTGCCTTCGTAGCGGTTCCCGTTCTCTGGGGGAAAGAACAGGGAGTCAGGGGTCTTGGCCCACAAAACCAGGCCAGACTACATATACCCGGGCTGGACCCTTGCCACTGCCGGGCCAGACATCATGCCCACCAGAAAGCCATAGAGCCCTGGGGTGTGAGCGACTTCCGGCTTCAGACCTGGTTCACATCTCACCTCCACTACCTCCCGGAACTTAGATGAGCACCATAGTTTCCTAGCTGTAAAAAATATAGCTAATAATACTGACAGGCAATGTTCTTCCTGCACTTACTCTGTGCCTGGTTCCATGCTGTTTCTGACCTCACTTCTCACAAAAACAGTTCTGTGAAGGATGAAGGATTCCATTTTATACACAGAACTTGAAAAGCTCCAGGAATTTGACTGATTTGCACAAGGTCACAGAACTAGGAAGTGGCAGAGGCAGGGTTTCAAACCAAATCCTGTTCATATCGGGAGCCCCGGCTCTTAATCAGGAATCAATTCCACTTCCCATTGGATCGCGGTGGTGGTGGTGTAAAAATGATAATAATAAAGCCAACATGTCTCAGCTCAGACACTCACCAGCCGTGTGACCTTGAGCAAGTCACTGAACCATTTTGTCTCATTTCCTCATTTGTAAAACGGGGACAAGAGTAGCTCCTCACTCATAAAATTATTCTGAAGATTAAATGAGTCCATACACAGACAGGACTTAGAAGAGTATTGGATGAACTCTAGGTCAGAGGTCAGCAAACCTTTTCTGCAAAGGGGCAGATAGTGTTTTCGGCATCGCGGGCCATAGGGTCTCTGCTGCGCATGGTCAACTCTGCCATTGCAGCACAAAAGCAGCCCGTGGGGACTTCCCTCGTGGCACAGTGGTTGAGAATCCGCCTGCCAGTGCAGGGGACACGGATTGGAGCCCTGGTCCGGGAGGATCCCACATGCCGCGGAGCGACTAAGCCCGTGCGCCACAACTACTGAGGCTGCGCTCTAGAGCCCGCGCGCCCACGTGCCTAGAGCCCGTGCTCCACAACAAGAGGGGCCACCACAATGAGAAGCCCGCGCACTGCAACAGGGAGTAGCCCCCGCTCGCCGCAGCTGGAGAAAGCCTGCGTGCAGCAACGAGGACCCAACGCAGCCAAAATTAAATTTAAAAAAATTAATTTATATTTAAAAAGACCCAACGCAGCCAAAAATAAAGTTAATAAATTAATTTAAAAAAAAAAAAGCAGCCTGTGGACAATACATAACTGAACGAGCACATCTGTGTGCCAATAAAACTTTATATATAAAACACGTGTTGGGCTGGATTTGGCCAATAGTTTGCTGAGCTCATACAAGGATGTACTGATTCTGAGCACTTACTATTCCGTGTCATGCTAAGCGTTTTACAAATATAAACCTCATTTAACCTTCACAATAACTCTAGTTAAGCTTTATTTTTTCCTTACTTTACAGGTGAGAAAAATGAAGCAGAGAGAGTGTAAAGAAATTAATTGCCCAAGGTCCCACAACTAGTAAGAGCTTGAGCTAGAATTTGAACCCAGGCTGGCCGGCTCCAGAGTCCAAGCCTTAGAAACGGTGCACTTAGAGCTCCTTCACTGTGCGGGCCACAGAAGGTGCTCACTGAAATCAGGCACGGAGGCGGGTGCACGGGGGATTGAGAATGACAGAGTGGCTACCCTTAACCCTCCCCAGCTGCCCAATGCCTTGGTTTAGTCAAATCTCTTTGGAGGGACTTCCCTGGTGGCACAGTGGTTAAGAATCCGCCTGCCAGTGCAGGGGACACGGGTTCGAGCCCTGGTCTGGGAAGATCCCACATGCCGTGGAGCCCGTGTGCCACAACTACTGAGCCTGCGCACCACAACTACTGAAGCCTGCGTGCTTAGAGCCTGTGCTCTGCAACAAGAGAAGCCACCGCAATAAGAAGCCCATGCACTGCAAGTAGACCCCGCTCGCTGCAACCAGAGAAAGCCTGCTCGCAGCAACGAAAACCTAACACAGCCAAAAAAAAAAAAAAAAAAATCTCTTTGGAAGTTGGAATCTTGAGTTTTCAGGAGACTGGGCTCTGGTTTGTGTCCTTACCAAAAGTATCTACTTACTACATGGCAGGCACTGGGGAAACAGTGGGGAACAAAACAGACACATTCCCAGTCCTTCTGCAGGCTCACAGTCTGGAGGGGCAATGATACTAGCTTTATCGACAGCCTACTGCGTGCTAGGCCCTGTTCTAAGCACTTTACACAGACTCCCTCATCTAATCTTCCCCATAGCCCTATGAAGTGGGTACTGCCATTATTCCCATTTTACAGGAGGGGAAACTGAGACACAGAGATGCAAAGTAGTTCGCCCAAGATTATACACCTAGTTCTAAGAAGGAAAGGAAGCAAGTGCTGAGAAGAATGTGCTTTAGGTGGAACGTACAAATGCAAAGATCTGGGGGAATCTTCTTTTTTTTTTTTTAATATTTATTTACTTGGCTGCACCAGGTCTTAGTTGTGTCACATGGGATCTTTGTTGCTGCCTGCGGGATCTTCCTTGTGGCATGCAGGATGTTTTAGTTGCAGCATGCGGGAATTTTTTTTTTTTTTTAATCGTGGCATGTGAACTCTTACTTGTAGCATGTGGGATCTAGTTCCCTGACCAGGGATCAAACCCAGGCCCCCTGCATTGGGAGCGTGGAGTCTTAGCTACTGGACCACCAGGGAAGTCCCTGTGGGAATCTACTTTCTATTCCAGGAAGAGGGAACAGCAGTGCAAGGGCCCTGAGGCAGAAAGTGGGAGGAATTGAAAGAAAGTTAGTATGGCCAAAAAGAAGGGAGTCCAGGGGAAAAGGGGAGGTGAAACTGGAGTGGTGAGCAGGGCCAGATCATGCTGGGCCCCACAGACCACAGTCAGGCCTCTGAACTGAGTCTGAGGGCAACAGGGAGCTATGGAAAGGTTGAAAGCAAGGCCGTGACAAGGTCCAATTTATGAAAAGCTGGCTCTGTTTGCTTTGTAGAGAATGGATTAAGTCCTGATACAAATGCGAGCTTCTCAGAACTCTTTCCTCTGCCTGGGAATGTTCTTCCCCAGCGCAATACATATCCCGCTTCCTTCTCCTCCTTCCATTCTCCATTCAAACAACACCTCTTCAGGGAGGCAGTCTCTGACCGTAAGCCAATCTAAACAGCCCTGACCCCAACTCCTTTGTCATTCCCCAACGCGTCTTCCTGTTTTCAAGGGGAATTCCTTAGCACTTCTGGCCTCAGAAGAGACTGCGTAACCTTGAGCAGACGCCGTAGCCTCTCTGTGCCTTTGCTCACTTGTAAAGTGAGGATGGTGAGAGCACCTATCCTATAGGATTGTTGTGGATTAAATGAGCTCAGGGCTGTGTAAGTGCAGGCTATGATTATTACGATCATAAGACAATGTCTTAATTGTTTATATTTATTGTTAGGCTCCCCTTTTAGAGTATAAACTTCCTGAGGGCAAGGACCGGGTCCTGTCATTCAGCTTAACCCAGTGGGAACAGGTCTAGGCGGGGACTTGGCCTGATGGGGCGTGGCCATGAGGGACCCAGAGGAGTGTGACTTGAGGGCGTGGCCGGGTGGGCGTGATCAACAGGCCATTTGGGGTGGGGCTAAGCACTCACTCAGGCGTAACATGCCCTCCCCTTCCGGCTTGTCGTCGCACCACTGGCCCTCGTAGATGTCTCCGTTGCTGTAGTACATGCGGCCCCAACCGCTGCGCTGGTTGCCACACCAGTCACCCTCGTAATACTCCTTGGGTCCGAAAAACTGGATCCCATAGCCCTGAAAGCACGAAGGTGTCCTTGTTCACGCGTCCCACACCACTAGGAACTCCCACCATCCTCCCTGGCACCCAAGCCACACACCTGGGCTTCTCCCCTGCTTCCTCCCCCAGCCCTACATCCAAGCTGACGGTCGTGTATCGAAAAATCTCCCAGGCCGTCCATTCTCCTCTATCCTTGTGCTACTGCCTTCCTGCAGCCCGCCATCATTTCATCCCTTCTCACTGGTCTACCTCCTCCACTCTCCCGTTGTTCCCTGACCCCATGCATCTGCCATACAGCTCCTAGGAGGATCTTTACGTTGTCTATCCGATCACATTTGCCCCGTCTCCCCAACTCTGATTTGACCCTATTAAAAGTCGCAGATGCCTGACAATCAGATCAAAGCTACGGACTTTCTCCCCAGAAAAATGGACATAAGCACTTATCATGCAGCCGCAGAGAATCACCACAAACTCCCCGCAGATCACACCGGAAGAGGTTGGGTTATGCAGCCCAAGTCTACTCTTCAACATCCTCATGCCCTACATAACCTTCAAGGCCTCACTCCCACCCCTGTGGGCAGACACACCTTGCTGTTTATTATATCCTTCCTTTTGGTATTTCCTCTTCTCCTTTCTTACTCCCTAAGTCCTTGCATCTTATGGTGTCACCTTCTACAGGAAGCCTGCCCTGAATTCTTAATGAACTGCCTCTGGACTTTCTGTAAAAACCTCTATCCTAGCACCATATTATATGTAAAATATTTATTTGGGGAGCTTTATCCCCACTGGCCAATTAACATTTTGAGAGTAGAGATCATGAAATGCTGGGCTCTACAACTTGCCAGTGGTGTGACCCCAAGCAAGGCGCTTCACCTTCTGCGCCTTTCTGAGCTTGTTTCCTCATCAGTAAAACGGGAATAATAATAATGATGATGATGTTGTTGTTGTTGTTGATGTGAGAGTTTACAATATATCATGTTCCAGGGCTACAGTAGCTGTTGTTCGATAGCAGTACTGTATTATTATCTGTCTCCACGACCTATGGTGAGGATTCAGGTGTTGATGGGTTGGGGGCATGCCTCTGGCTGGTTTCTATCCCTCAAGACCTTCCTTTCTTGGCCAAGGGTGTGACCTCTGCTTTCTTTCTTGCTCCCACTCTTCCAAACCCCTGCTGTCACCTCTTATCCAGTCCCAACAGAAGGGGGGGTTCTCAGAAAGGGATGCCAGGAGAAAAGAAAGCCAGGAAATGAGTGGGGAGGTTGGGAGGAGACTTTGGCCCCTCACAGCCTGGCTGGCTTCTTGTAGCCACAGGGTTTCATGGGCTCCTCCCTGGGCCCTCTCCTCTTGCTTCCTGTTTCCTGGGTTTTGTTCTGAGAAGCCTTGATGTTCCCCCACCCCTTCCTTCTCCCACTCACACAGCAACCCTGTTCTCCTCCCCTAGATCCCCCCACCCTTTTCTCCCAGGCCTCTCTGACTGCTCCCCACCTCCCCACACACACACACAGCCTGCTTTCAGCCTGGCCCACACCCCAGGGCATGATGGGAACCACTCACACATTTCTTATCGCCTTTCCACCAGCCTGAGTAGACTCTCCTGTACTTTCCGGTCTCTTGGTCAGAAAGGCTGAGTGTGCCATAGCCATCTCTCTTCCCAAATTTCCAGTCCCCCTCATAGATGGCTCCATTCTTCCTCCAGACCTGTGTTCCTTTCCCTAGGGACACAAAGATGAGCCAACATGGTAGACATGGCCTTTATGGGGCTGGGGATGCCGGGAGGCAGGTGCTGTGTCTGTCTGGGCCTCAGGGGCCCCTAGACTGGACAATTCTCAAGAACTGGGTCAGGGTCTGTGCCCGGTCTCCAGACCCCCAGCACCCAGGAAAACCCCCCAAAAGTTCTATTTCTACAGCCCTTTGCCCTGAAGCCAAACTGACATAGCAGACCCCAACTAGAAATCTGCCTCTTCAGTGTTTCAGCTTCGTCTTTTTTTTAATTTTAATTTTAATTTATTTATTTTTGGTTGCATTGGGTCTTTGTTGCTGCGCGCGGGCTTTCTCTAGTTGTGGTGAACGGGGGCTACTCTTCGTTGTGGTGTGCAGGCTTCTCATTGCAGTGGCTTCTCTTGTTGCAGAGCACGGGCTCTAGGCACGCAGGCTTCAGTACTTGTAGCACACGGGCTCAGTAGTTGTGGCGCGCAGGCTCAGTAGTTGTGGTGCATGGGCTTAGTTGCTCCGTGGCATGTGGGATCTTCCTGGACCAGGGCTTGAACCCGTGTCCCCTGCATTGGCAGGTGGATTCTTAACCATTGTGCCACCAGGGAAGTCCCAAGCTTCATCTTTTAATAATACTGAATGGATACACCAGATGGTCAGGATTTTTAGAAAATGTTCTGCATATTTCTTCAGTTCTCCTGAACACACATGGAGACCCATCTCCTACTACTCCAACCCCTCTGTGTCCTCCACTCCCGTTTTCCATTCTGCCCTCCAACCACTGTGGTTTCCATGCTGTTCTTGGAACCCACCTGTTATGCTTTCGCCTCAGGGCTTTTGTACCTGCTTCTCCTTTAGCCTGGAAAACTCTTCCCTCTATATTTGCTCACTCCCTACCTCCTGCAAGTCTTTGCTGAAATCTCATTTTCTCAATGAGGCCTACCCTGACCATCCCGTTTAAAATTATTCCATATAAGCTTCTTTTAATCCCTTACCCTGTTCTGTTTCTTTCTATATCACTTGTCAGCTCTTAACATAATAGATAATTCACTTATTTATCATTTATTGTCTATTGTCTGTCTCTTCCAGGAGAATGTGCGCTCCACAAGAGCACAGACTGGTCTGTTCTGTTCACTGCTCTCTATCCAGCACGGAAGAACAGTGTCTGGCATGTTGTAGGTGACCAATATTTATTGAACAAAGAGATGAATACAATATTTGCGGAGTACCTATGCACGCCAACTCATGTCTTGGTCCTTGGTAGCTCAGGAACAAATCCAACATTGTCCCTGTGAGCTTTTTGATCTAGTGCAAGTAACTTAACTCTCTGGGCCTCAGGTTCCTCATCTGCAAAATGGGGATAAGAGTATCTCATGGGGTTGTTCTGTTCACTAAATTCATTAATATATGTAGAACACTTAGGACAATGCCTGCAAATAGAAAAGATGATATCAATGATTTTTGCCCTTGAGGTGGGGTCCAGTCACATTGCAAGGGATGAAGGGTTGTTTACATCTGTCCTTCTTCTAGTTTATTTCCTTTGGGGACACAGCCCTCCCTCTCAGTCCTTCAGGTTTGCATGGGGCTGACTTCTCCTGGCAAGCCTAGCCAATCAGTGTATTCTATCCACCCAGGCCTCTGTGACTGGTTCAGTGAAGGGCATGTGACCAAGTTGGTCCAATGAGACTGTTTGTCTCCCAGATGAAGGCAGAACTTACCAAGGCCTAAGAGGCCCTATACGATTGGCCCTCTTAACCTGCCCCTTTCTCCCCTCCTTCTCTGTGTTCCAGCCCACTGGCTTCCAGTCCCTTCCTTGAACAAGAGGTAATAGTGAAAAACACCCCCCCATCTCTGATTCCACTATCTAGAAGACATGCTCCCCCCTCCCTGGCTAATCATTTTCATCCTCTGGGCTCGGCTCAAACATGTTCTCATGGCTCCTTTCGTGGCTTCTCTCTGGTCCCCTTTACATCCTGATGATACCACTTTTAGCTGTGTGGCCTTGAGTAAGTCACTTCCTCTCTCTGAGCCCCAGTTTCCTCATCTGTAAAATGGGACATTACCTACTGTGCAGGTTGTCAGTGAGACTGGAAGGACCCTGAGTGTTGGGATTCTTCCAGATGCCCGGTGTAGAGCCTGGCACAGACTAGGAGCACAATGAGTATTAGTGGAGTGAGTGGTCTGGGTAACCACTGGGGCCACCCTATCCTTGCCCTGAATGACGGCTCTCTTGACTGCTTCCAGCCTGCTTATACTACAGCAGCCCACTTCAGCGTGGTCAAAAGGTGAGTCAAGAGAGGGGGCATTGGACCTGGGTTCTCTGACAGATCTGCTTTCTGCAGCCCCAGCCCCATCAGCTCTATGCCTCCAGGGTCTGAGGGGAGGCAGGACTCACACAGAAGGACTCAGAGGGCCACACCAGCCCACAAGGTCATATCACAGGTAGGGCAGCCAAGTCCAGAGAATGGGAAATGACTTACCCAAAGTCACACAGCTACTCAGTAATAGAGCCAGGCTCAGAACTTCAGGGTCCTGACTCCAAGTCCAGGGCTCTGTCCACACCACAGGCTGCCCACAGGATTGAAACATGCAGGCAGACATCTTTAACCGCACACAGAGCTCCAAGCAGCTGCTTGAACCCTGGCCTTTAAGTCAGTGCTGAGGGGGGGCGTTGTGTTACACACTGGGTGAGGTCAACTTTGGGGGCCTTCTTGGGCAAGGAAGCTCTAAGTAGTGATCCCTGCCATGGTCAGCCCTCCGAGAACACTCCAGAAGTTCCCTTCTGCACAGACTCTTGGCTAAATACTTGATAGATGTCATCTCTTAACAGATAGGTATTATTCCCATTTTACAGATGGGGAGACTGGGGCTCGGAGTAGTGTAGTAGATCTCTCAAGGTCATAGTTACTGGAGCTGAGATTCTGACCCAGCTTTATGGACTCAAGCACTTAACGCAGGAAGGCAGGAGAGAAGAATGGTTAAGAGCAGAGAGTTTGGAATTGCAAGACTGGACTGAGAAGCCATAACACCTTTTTTGAATAAAAACTTATTTTTTTTCTTCAGGGCTTAGTTTGTATCACAAAGAGCCCCGTACTTCCTGCTAGTTAAACTGAGCCCAGCCCAGTTAAAGTCAGAGCCCCAGCCACTTGGGGTGGGGGGTGGAAGTATAGGGGGTGGGGGGGGAGGGGGGGGGGGATAGCGGGTGTCCTCCCTCGCCCCCTACTGGTTTGAAGGGCTGAATTTGAAGACCAGAATCCCAGTTGCAAGCTGCTTTCTGGGGGCCACCTTTTCCTCCTGCTAGCCAGCCCCATGCTTAGCCCAGGTGTCAGAGGTAGAGAATGAGCTGGTGTCCTGAGAGTCCCGGCTGAGGCTGTGGCTGGTGCCTAAAGACTGCTCTGTCCCCTACTGGTCCCTTTGCTCAGCTGAAGCCAGGGCCGAGTTGGGTTCCAGAACCCCAGCAGGAGGAGGCCCCTGGTTGGTCCAAGTCAGCATTCACTCCTCAGAGATACATGTTATATCCCCAGTGAGCTATGCAAGCTGCTTCCTTGGCCCCGGTTTCCCACCATGGCCCAGACCCCATACTCACCGCCTGAGCCCCCGAAGGTCCCCCACTTACCGTGTTTCAGGTTGTCCTTCCACTTGCCCACATAGTGATCGCCATTGACAGCGAACACCTGGTGCCTCAGTCCGTTCTTCTGGGCCTTCCGGTCCCATGCTTTCCACAGGGGCTCCGACTTTGGCGGGCACTTGGAGATAGGCATGGTGGCTGCTTCTGTGGGCCAGGGGGTGCTGGCAAAGGGTTAGGGACATCAGGGGCTCAGTTTGCCATAAGTAATGCCAGGATCCTCGGGCTTCCCAGGGAGACACCTGTCTGAGGTCAAGTGGGACGAGTCACGTGTGTTCTGAGTCCCCAGGGCAGATGAGCAGCCCTTGCGGGGTTTTCTTTTGTGCTGGACTGACCCCCCTGGGAGGCTCTCTCTTCCCTTCCTCTCCAGGGGCCCCTGTGGGCCAGGGGGTGCTGGCAAAGGGTTAGGGACATCAGGGGCTCAGTTTGCCATAAGTAATGCCAGGATCCTCGGGCTTCCCAGGGAGACACCTGTCTGAGGTCAAGTGGGACGAGTCACGTGTGTTCTGAGTCCCCAGGGCAGATGAGCAGCCCTTGCGGGGTTTTCTTTTGTGCTGGACTGACCCCCCTGGGAGGCTCTCTCTTCCCTTCCTCTCCAGGGGCCCCTTGGGGTGGGGGATCTGATGGCACAATTGCTTGGGATGGGAACCCAGGGAAACCAACAGGGCAGAGGGGTTTGTGATGACATCAGGAAGAAGCTGCCCCGGGGGAGAGGGTGAAAGTCACATATTTAATAACCAGTATGACCAACCAGAGTGGATGCGGGCCTGGAGCCCTCAGTTGTGAACACTACAACCCACTCTGGGGAGTTGGGGCCTAGCCAGGCCACTCTGTCTGGGCTGGCAGACAGCCGTGATGGCACAGCCCACAGGGGCACCCCCTCTACCACCACTGGCTCAACACCCAACACTTTAGCCCCCTGGGTCCCGCCCCCTATGCCTGGTGGACAGGATGGTAGAAAAGCCTAGAATGCCTGGTGGACAGGATGGCAGGGGGTTGTGAGCTGTCAGGAGAGCCCCTCAACTAAAGAGACTGCCTCTTGGGAGACCCCCTGTACCGGTTTGCCCGGGACTGAGGGGCTTCCTAGGACATTGGACTTTCAGTGCTAAAGCTGGAACAGTCCCAGGCGCACCAGGATGGTTGATCACCCTCTGCCTCTGCCTCTGCCCTCTGCCCTCTGCCCTCTGCCCAGGTACTCTTCCTGTCTGCCTGGTTAGGTGTTTTTCATCAGACCAGGGTTCTCCTCCCCACCCTGCCTGGTGGGGTTGCAGAGAGACTTTGGGTCTCTCCCCAGACTGGGATCCCCCCATCTATGCGCTTCATGTCCCCAGTGCAGACATTCATGTCTATTTGTTTGTCTCCAGGGGACTTGTGCAAGGTGACAAAGATGGTCTCCAAATCTGGGGATCTCTCTTTCCCCTCAGCAGGTACCATCTATCCTGCTCCATAGATGGGAAATACACACACACACACACTCAAGCAGTGCTAGCAGCCAAGGATGGGGGTGGAGGAGTGGAGGGATGGGGGAATGAGGGGATGGGGGTGGGGGACTAGAGTGAACTATTTAACCATCAGCAGGCAGAAGTCTTTTTTGTTTTTGTTTGCCGCACCGAGTTGGCCTTCGGAATCTTAGTTCCCCCACTAGGGAAAGAACCCAGGCCCCCTGCAGTGGAAGCACGAAGTCCTAACCACTGGACTGCCAGGGAATTCCCAGGCAGAGGTATTGACCAATGAGAATGACCTCAGGGCTGAGCAGGTTTCAGGAGATCTTGGTGTCCCAAGCACCCACCCACCCAGGACCAGCATCACAGGTGTGCAACCTGAACAGTTGCACAGGGCCTGGTCCTTAGAGGGGTGTGTACTTGGTCTCGGCTCTGTCGCTGTTTTGAAATTCTTAATACTGTATGAGCTACTGCCTCACATTTTCATTTTGCATTGGGCCCTGCTTATCAAGGAGTTCCCTGTAGGGCCACAGCAGGGGCCTCAGTGATTCTGACTAAGCTGGCCAACTGTACTGGCTAGTATGTATTTTGACAATCATGCCTAGGAATTGGGAAAGTCACTCCAGGCAAGGAAGACAGCCAGGGTGAAAACTGGGTAGAGGGAAACAGTCTCAGGTCCTAAATTTAATGTTTTCCTTTTTTCTCCCATTTGCATGTACCATGTGTACTATGATTCATCTTTATATTGAAGTTAATTCACTTAAAACGTAAATACGTTTATCCAAGGAAGATTTTGCAAACATTACTTAAGTCTCAGCTAGACACTGGGGCTTACAGTTGAGATTAGCAAATGTTCAGAAAGGTGTTAATGCCATATTAGCCCCAAACTGACACTTTCTCCTTGGTTTACTCAGAACCGTAAGAGAACCCAGAATCTAATAACTTCCTTACGATATCATTGGGTGATACTTAATGCTTCATCAGTGTAACTCATCCTCTGTCCCACACTTTCAGGAACGTAGATGCTACCCTAGAGGAGGTCGTGGTCTTAATACATAGAGCTCCTGATAGGAAAAGAAAGGTTTGGGGAATCCCCTGGCGGTCCAGTGGTTAGGATAGGACTAGGTGTTTTCACAGCCAGGGCGCGAGTTAGATCGTGGCCGCAAGCCACGATGCGTGGCCAGAAAAAAAAAAAAAAGGGGGGGGGGGGGCGGGGAAGAAGGCTTTGCCACTCGGTGCGCGTACTCTACTCGTGTTGTTTTGATACTGAATAACAATAATTACCACCATGGAAGGTGGAAGGAGCGGGGCCCAGACGGCTGGGGGTCAGTCGCTGGCCCGCGCCTCGTCACACCTACGCCGGCTCACCTGCTCTCTCCTGCGGGGCGGATCCTGCATCTGGAGTCCTGGGCCGAGAGCGGTGGAGTCGCCGCCCGCAGCCTCCAGCCTCAATCGTCCGCAGCGCGCGTTCCGGCGTCCCAAGCCCTGCCAGGGTCCCTATGGCAACGCGGGGCCCCAGCAAAGCCGGCCGGCAGGGCCCGCCCCTTCCTGCGGAGACTGTGAGCTCGGGGCCGCGTGTGGGGAAGGCTGTAGATCCTCCCGCGACGAGGAAGGACGTCTTCGGGCCTGCGGAGGTCGAGTACTGACTGGTGCACCGGCCCGGTGGCCAAAGACTGGTGGGCGAGCCCGGGAGACCTGATATCCGCGGAGCCCACGGTATGCCCCGGGAGGTTACTGCCCTCCCCACCCCCGCTTCCCTCCCGTCCCGGTTTCCCCAGAGCAAATACCACGCCCGATGCTGGCAGGAAAGTGTCAAAGGCTTTTCTGCCTTGTTGCAAAGACAAAGGGGCAAAATTAAAGGGAAAGCCAACATTACACGTGTTCTTTGTTTTGTGATGGTTTATTAGACTCCTCTGAGAATCTGAGGGAAGCTATATTGCCCCTACACACCGGAAGATGCATACGATTTATATAGACACGAGTCGGCCCAAGTCATTCCTCAGCTCACTTCCCTACAGTGGCTCCCCTGACCACTCAGAGTAAAAGCCACAGTGCCTACAGTGTCTTCAAAGCGCTGCGTCATTTGCTCACCTCCCTCCCCTTTCCTCTCTGAGTTTGTCCCCTACTCTGTGCGCCCAGTCCCACTCTGCTCTAGCCTCACACTTGCTTCCTTGTGGTTCCTGGAAAATGCTAGGCGTGTTCCTGCCTCAGGGCCTTTGCCTCTTCTGTGCCCTCTGCCAGGCCATTTCTTCCTCCAAATAGCGGCCTGCATCACGCCCTGCCCTCCAGGGCTTTATTCAGATCACCTCAGTACGAGTGTCTGGACCACCCTATTTAAAATTGGAAACTTCGGGCTTCCCTGGTGGCGCAGTGGTTGAGAATCCGCCTGCCAATGCAGGAGACACAGGTTCGTTGAGAATCCGCCTGCCAATGCAGGAGACACAGGTTCGAGCCCTGGTCCGGGAAGATCCCACATGCCGCAGAGCAACGAAGCCCATGCACCACAACTACTGAGTCTGTGCTCTAGAGCCCGCGAGCCACAACTACTGAAGCCTGCGTGCCACAACTACTGAGGCCCACGTGCCTAGGGCCCGTGCTCCACAACATGAGAGGCCACTGCAATGAGAAGGCTGCGCACCGCAACGAAGAGTGGCCACCGCTCACCGCAACTAGTGAAAAGTCCGCGCGCAGCAACGGACATCCAACGCAGCCAAAAATAAATAAACAAATTTATAAAAAATATAAATAAATAAATAAAATAAAATTGGAATCTCCATATATACTTTCTGAAATGTTTTCCTCTTTCCCAACCTCATTCCCGTTTCACGTTCTCTGTAGCACTACACGCACACACAGACACACACCCCTTATTTATTGTCTGTCTCTTTGAAGCCAAAAAAAAAAAATTTTTTTTTTGGTTGTGCCAGGCCATTTGCAGGGATCTTACCCGACCAAGGATCATTGAACCCATGCCCCCTGCAGTGGAGGCGTGGAGCCCTAACCACTGGACCGCCAGGGAATTCCCAGAATATTTGTTGAGGTATAATTTTTGCTCTAGAGTTCCCCTCAGGATCAGGCTGCACTCACTTGGCTTTTTAACTTACTACCCCCCCCCCCCCCCCCCCCCCGTCTATTAGCCAGTTTCTACTGGAAGAAATTCCTTAACAAATCATATATTATATATACATTTTTTCTTTTTTACAAAACTGGAGCCAACTTGTGACCATAGAAGAAACACAACGGACCCAGAGAATGGCACAGCTTTTCCATGATGAAATTCATTCAAGAACATCATTTTAATACCTGAATAATTTCTTCACCAGTCTCTTGGTGATGGGCATCAGATTTATTGCCTATGTTCCCCATTAGAAATGTTGATCTGATGAATGTCCTTCCGTTTAAATGTGGTTATGCATCGCAGCTTATTTCCTTAGGAAATATTCTTAGAGACAGAATTGTGGGTCAAAGGGTGTGAGCATTTTTGAACTCTTGATATATGTCACCAAATTGCCCTCCTGAAAGATTGTATCAGTTCCATACACAGAATAGAAGAGTGTCTGTTTTTTCCCCCATCTTTACCCTTTGCCCACATTGAGTATTATTTTTAAAGCTCTTTACCCATCTCATAGAAAAAAGTCTTGTTCTGATGGCTTTTCTTTGATTACCAGTGGGCTCCCCTTCACTGCTTTGCTCTTCACTCCCACTGGAATGGGAATTTTGCTCTAATTTCCACATGTATCACATCATTTGTAGTTAATTTGTTGGGTGTCTCTCTGTCTCATTAGAAGGTAATTGACATAGACCTTATACAGTGTATCTTTTTTTTTTTAACATCTTTATTGGGGTATAATTGCTTTACAATGGTGTGTTAGTTTCTGCTTTATAACAAAGTGAATCAGTTATACATATACATATGTTCCCATATCTCTTCCCTCTTGCGTCTCCCTCCCTCCCACCCTCCCTATCCCACCCCTCTATACAGTGTATCTTAATGCCTTATCCAAGGTTCATTTGGTTGCAGGTAGAGAACCATCTCACACTATCTAATTAAGGAAATTTATTAAGGATACAAGAGTGTTGGAAAGCTGCCAACAGCAAAGCCATTCTCTCTCTCTCTCTCCATGTCTCCTTCATCTTTCTCATTCTGCCAATCAGCTTTCTCATGCTCACAGTTCCACCTCGGTTCGGTTCCAAACACTCACAGAAATTAATTGGCTCTTTCCAAATTCCAATCCCAAATTCATGACTGGCTCACCTAGGGTCCGGAGTCTGCCCAGGGCCAGTCACGCCCCAGATGCTGTGGTTCTCCTCAAGGCATTCTCCTCTCCTACTCACGTACCTGGCCAGCTGTTCCAGCAGGTTCTATCCTGGTGCAAACTATCCCTGTGCTGTGGCTTTGTCCAGAGCTGCCCTGCCACCCGCTGAGTGGCACCTCAATGGTCTAGTTTTCTCTCTCCCAAGGCCAGGCTAAGACACAGCCTCAAGCCTCAGTCCCACCCCTCCAAGAAGCCCTTTTACAACCACTAATCAAACCCTGGCTCAGGGGAAGCAAGGACTGTCCCCTAGAGAAGAATCTGGGGCAGGTTAACGTTTATCTGCCTCGGCAGGCAATCTGGATGGGCAGGTTACAAATCTATGAGATTATTCTCCTTATGGAGTCAGAATTTGGTAGCATAACTCACAAGCTCCTGAGCAGGTGCTATGGACTGGCCACTCCTTAACACCGAAGTGCCAGGAACATCAAGCTTGAGGTCTTCTGTCCCGTACACCCTTCTGATAATTACTTGCCAGATTTGAATGGCTAGAATTGGGACTTCCCTGGAGGCCCAGTTGTTAAGACTCCATGTTTCCACTGTAGGGGGCCCGGGTTCAATCCCTGGTTAGGGAACTAAGATCCCACAAGCCGAATGGCATGGCCAAAAAAAAAAAAAAAAAAGAGAATGGAATGGATAAAAAATGTCATCTATCCATACAGTGGAATATTATTCAGCCATAAAAAGGAATGAAATACTGACACAGGCTACAACATGGATGAACCTCGAAAACATTACGCTAAGTGAGAGAAGCCAGACACCAGACACAAAAGGTCATACGTTGTTTGTTTCCATTCATATGAAATGTCCAGGACAGGCAAATCTATAGAGACAGAAAGTAGATTAGTGGTTACTTTGGGAAGGGGGAGATGGGGAGATGGGAAGGTGATAGTTAAAGGGCAGGTTTGTTTGTTTGTTTTTTGCAGTGATGAAAATATTCTAAAATTGACTGTGATGAAGGGTGCATAACTCTGTGAATATACTAAGAACCATCGAGTTGTACATTTTAAACGGGTGAAGTGTATGGTGAATTCTCTCAATAAAGCAGTTTTTAAAAGTCTCCGGTGCAGAACGAGCGCCCTCTAGGGGCTCTCAGATGTCCAGAGAGAGTCACAGGCCACTTTTTTTTTTTTTTTGAGACTTCTGCTAAATTAAAAATCAGAGAAATGCCTAAAGAGGGTAACACAAAGTGCAGAAAATGTTATTTAAATTTTTGCTGAAGTATAAAATACATACATAAAAGTGGAAATATCCTCAGTGCATAGCTTGATAGATTTTTGCAAACCATTCTTGTCACAACTGACTCTCTGGGACTCTCTCTTGGGAACGATGCCAAAAGTCTAAATTTGAGTCCCATCGTATATATGAGGCCACCTTTTTTTTTCTTTTTAGAGTTTATTGCAACTTTGGGAAATTAGTGGTAAACCATATGGTTTTAAAAAACAATATGTGGCTGCACTTAAATTCACATAAAAATAGCATTTTAAAAACCATAATGAAATTTAATCCTTTTACACAGGTTAACAAAATGTATTACAAGAAAAATTAAACATTGGGTTTAACAAAAGCAATATTTTTGAAAGTGGAACAATGGAAATATTTTTTCAAATTTTTTACAAATGGTCACCTCTGGGTCCATTTACCACACTAGGGGATCAAAGTTGTTCAAATACAGCTGTGCTCAACTGAGCCACTTACCTACAGCACAGTAGTGCTAGAAATCAATCCTAAGGTCAAGATGTAAGACCATAAGAGACTAGATCCTAAATGTTTTACAGCCTCCTCAGTAAGAGGTGCTTTTCCTTCCCCAAACAGGATGAGGTCACTTCTGAGTGACTCTATGGGACCCCTCTTTTCCTCTTCTTTCTCTCCTTTCTTAATCTCTAGGGTTATGCCATCAAAGGATTTTATAAAAGTAAAAAGTCAATTCCTCAGTTGTAGTAGCCACGTTCCAAGTATCCAGTAGGCACTTGTGGCAACTGGCTCTCCTAGGGGACAGCGCAGATACAGAACATTTCCTTTACCATAGAAAGTTCTATTGGACAGTGCTGCTTTCAGGGATGAGCTCTGATCTCTTGTTTTATCCCTTCCTTGCAAGGTTTCCTTTCACTGCCCACAGCTCCCCATCCTTTTTTTTTTTAAAGTTGGTCAAGGAAATGCTCTGTCAGAACCTAACATAATGTCTACCGGGATAAGCCAGTGGAAATTATGGTGTTTGAAAATAGTTCTTAGGCAAAGAAATACAGCTAATAAATCATCCCAAGGAAATATGCACAACCTCACCAGCAATTAAAGAAATGAAAGTTAAAATAACCCTGCCATGCATTACATACTGTCTAGACTAGAAAAATGTGTAAAAATCATGGACTGTGATATTGCCAACACTGTGGGG